GTGTGTGTGTGTGTGTGTGTGTGTGTGTGTGTGTGTGATTTAATGATTATGACACGTGAGCATTCTGTGTTGCTTTGATTCTACCTGTGTGATCATGTGTGTTCCTTCCCCTGGAACTCACCAATCCACATCAAAATGACTAAATGAATGAATGAACACATGAAATGAGTTGGTGTTTTTTTAGCCTGTTTGACTTTGCAGCACCATCCCAGGTTCCTAAAGGACAGCTGTCTGGTCTGAGCTGTCTCGTTTAGGAGGACCAGAAAAAAAGAACGGAGGAAAGACAAGAAAAAAGATCCACAACACAGACACGGAGGACTGGACTGGACAGCACGCTACAGACGATCCTGGAGCCACAACACAGAAACGGGGGACTGGGGTGCCATGCTAAAGACGATCCTGGAGGCTGCTGGGTTTCTTCTTAGATTTTTTTTTGACCATCTTACCTTCCTATCATGGTAGAGTGCTGCTGGACAGCAGCCTCCAGGAGCCTCTCTAGTATAGTCCATTCCCCCATTTCTGAGCATCCGGAGGAGACGAGGGTTCAACGGCACTCTGGGCAAATCCCCCCTCCAAAAAAAATAAATAAATGGGAAAAAAGAAAATCCGTCTTATTTCCCGTCCGGCTTCTCTCTGCTGTTCTTAGGTTCCAGCGCGTCCGGAATGGGCTAAAAAACGCATCCGTGACAGGATGCTTCTACCGTCCCCGTCCCCCCCAGCGTGTCCCTCTCCGCGCTATCTGGTTGGTTGTGTGCTCAGAGCGCAGCGCCAGTGAGCGTCCTGCTGCGTGTGCCGCGCGCTCCCTCCACGGTGCCACGCTGTTCCTGCTCATGAGACGCTGAGGACTGATTACTGTAAGCCCTCCTATTTTCGATCTTCACATCAGGTTGATTGGCTGCGGCCGCGCGTCTGGATGGAGGCAGGTTGGATTTAGTGTCTTGCCAGCGTTTAATCCGCCTTTAAGTAGTGCGCCCCCCCCCCCCCACACACACACACACCCTCCCCTCCGGTGCGTCACGAATGCACAGACAGGAGCACCGCCAGGAGTGCCAGAGTTTTTGGTGTTTTGTCCAGAGCGTCTCAGCTCGTCTCCAAAAGGGACATCTAACCTCAAACCCTCATTGTGTTGTTGAATAAAGCCTGAGTAGAGCTTTTATTTTGGATCAGATTTAAGGTCTGCTCTGTGTTCATGTGATTTATGATTTGCACATTCTTAAAGCTTTTTTTATATATACTTGCTCCACACACAGAAGGATGGAGGTGGGGCTGTGGGCCAAATGAAGCCCCCCCCCCGTGCCCAAAGGTGTCCCCACCTCCTGACACAGGCTGTTGGCCCGGATGGCAGGGCTGGTTTCCGCCTCAGGGCGAGGATGACGCTGTGGACACAGCGACAGTGTGGAAGCACCATCCGAGTTGCTAATCGCTTTATAGAACTGCCAGCTTCTTTTGCTGAAGTTTAAAAATAGCAGCAAAATTGGTGACCCCGCCCTGAAAATCACTCTGAGACTTCGACTTTTTGTGTGTTTCCACTGATAGGGCTCAAGTTGTCCTTTTCCGGGCTGAATTCCTTTTGCAGCTTTGACTATGTATTTATTTCCTTATTGACCCAAAGTCTGAGTTCTATTTGCATTATAAATTATACTTTTTTTTTGTTTTATTGGTTTATGTCTAATTCCTGTTTCCTGGTGGGACACCACTGTTTGCCACTTGCTGAAACTTGGCGCGGTTTATTTCTCGTGAGGTGGCTGATCCTCTTTCTCTCTGGCTGTAATCTGCACTAATTCAAAGCTTCAATAACCTTTACTCATCTGTCACGTGAGGACAGGAAGGACAGCAGAAACAAAACAAAACAATAAGCTGAGCATTGGTTTATTTATAAACTTATACAAACTTCTCTTGCGTAAACAAAGACTTTTGACAAAACATGAAGTGATGCTTTTGAGGGAGATGAAGTGTGTGTGTGTGTGTGTGTGGGGGGGGGGTGCTTTGGACTTAGAAGCACTTCCTGTGGACAATAGAAGGTCCCGCCTCGTCATACTCCTGCTTGCTGATCCACATCTGCTGGAAGGTGGACAGAGATGCGAGGATGGAGCCGCCGATCCACACCGAGTACTTCCTCTCAGGAGGAGCGATGATCTGAGAGCAAAATAAAAAGAATCAAATAAAAACGCATTTGTATTCATCTGCCCACCGACACGCAGCCTCTATACCTTAATCTTCATGGTGCTGGGGGCCAAAGCGGTGATCTCCTTCTGCATCCGGTCAGCAATGCCCGGGTACATGGTGGTCCCCCCGGAGAGGACGTTGTTGGCGTACAGGTCTTTGCGGATGTCGATGTCGCACTTCATGATGCTGTTGTAGGTGGTCTCGTGGATGCCAGCAGATTCCATGCCTGTGCAAACAGGGTGGGAGTGGGTGAGTCTTTGGGTCCCCCCATCCCCTCCTCCCCTCCCCCAATCCACCACCACCCTGCAGCAAAGAACAGGCCGCCGTCTGCTGTCAGAACAGGTGCTGAAATGAACAGCTCCTCAAACAGCCGTGCTCAGAGAGACAAACATCGACCCACACACACACATCAGTTACACGAATTAGACCGGTTGATAACTTGTTCCTGGTGAGTGACCAAAATCAATCAGTAATATAAATCATATTTAAAAATCATAAACATGTGTAAAAATCTGACAGGATGTTTGGATGTTACTCACCGATGAATGAGGGTTGGAAGAGGGTCTCCGGGCACCGGAAGCGCTCGTTACCGATGGTGATGACCTGACCGTCGGGCAACTCGTAGCTCTTCTCCAAGGAGGAGGAGGAGGCGGCGGTGGCCATCTCATTTTCAAAGTCCAGAGCCACGTAGCAGAGCTTCTCCTTGATGTCACGCACTATTTCTCTCTCAGCTGCAGACAAATCAGACGAGAATCTTGTGTTCATTTTGATTTGGTTTTCAGTGAATAAACGATTAGAACTGATCATAATGATTTAAAGAATTAGTCGGATTTATTGTATCCTTTTTGCGAGAATTAATGTCAGAAATGATCAATTAAAGTTTGTACAAGTTTCCACTCACCAGTTGTTACAAAAGAATAACCACGTTCCGTGAGGATCTTCATGAGGTAATCTGTGAGGTCACGACCGGCCAGGTCCAAACGCATGATGGCGTGAGGAAGCGCGTATCCTTCATAGATGGGCACGTTGTGGGTCACACCGTCACCAGAGTCCAGGACAATGCCTACAACCAGTCACCAATGTTAAAACTCGATCCCATGTTATATATTATCAGATTATTCAGTATCTGAGGACTGTGGCTACCTGTGGTGCGTCCAGATGCGTACAGGGACAGCACGGCCTGGATGGCCACGTACATGGCGGGGACATTAAAAGTCTCGAACATGATCTGAGTCATTTTCTCTCTGTTGGCCTTTGGGTTGAGTGGGGCTTCTGTCAGCAGGGTGGGGTGCTCCTCCGGGGCCACCCGCAGCTCGTTGTAAAACGAGTGGTGCCAGATCTTCTCCATGTCGTCCCAGTTGGTGATGATGCCGTGTTCGATGGGATACTTCAGGGTCAGAATGCCTCGTTTGCTTTGCGCTTCGTCCCCAACGTAGGAGTCCTTCTGCCCCATACCGACCATGACGCCCTGAAAAAAAAAATAACACAACTCAGCTGTAAGAAATCATCTGTTCTCACATAGCGCATGGACAGGCTTGCGCGTAATTACGCACAGGTAGACACTTTTCAACCTGTTCTAAGTGATGCAACTTTTATTTATTTACCTTTTTTATTTTAGGTTGTAGAAAGTTTTAACATGGGTTGTGTTTAGGATGGTTTAGTTTACCTGGTGACGCGGGCGGCCAACGATGGAGGGAAACACGGCGCGGGGCGCGTCATCCCCGGCGAACCCAGCCTTCACCAGGCCTGAGCCGTTATCACACACCAGGGCGGTGGTCTCCTCGTCGTCACACATGGTGTCAGATCTGCAACACCAGTAAGTCCTCTGATGAAATGTTCTGTTTGAATGAGTCTTTTAACAGCAAAACACACTCAAAGGTCTTTTTCTGTGGCAGATTAAGTTTTAGAATGTTGCTTTGAAAGATGTTAGTTTTAAACCAGTTTCCCCCAAAAATCTAACTGTCCACAGGTTAATAAGATAAGGTAATCCATAGGGTTATTAGTCAAAAGTTAAAATCCTTCTTCCTTCCTCCCGTGATAAAATCTTGTCCTTATCCAGTCCTTATCCTGGTGTGGATACTCACCAGAACAGCTCCGGGGGGCTGGATCTTGTGTATGTAAACAGGGGGTGTCGAGGTGTCACGGTCGGTCCGATTTATACTCCGATGAGCGTCTGCAGAGGCCAAGCTGTTCAACCCCTTCTCTATATTTGGTAGCTCATTGCTCCATTGACAAAAGGCACTCCATGAATGGCATGAATGGGGGGGAAGGGAGCTCCCCAGTGGACATCTGTGCCCGCCGCCCATATAAGGAGGAGAGCAGAGAGGACCGGAGGACAATGATGAGCTTTCCTCTGATCTGCTGATGAATCATTGGAACATAGCTAGAACAAACAAACAAACAAATATAACTTGTGTGTCAGCAGCAGACCCGATCACTTTGATATTTCTTTGATATTTTTCTATATTTTACCAGTCTGATATTCCCTGTCTTTTAACAAAGAAAAAATTAAAAACCCTTTCAAAAGGAAATCTAGCAATTTTTGAAGGGAATTATCTTAGGATAAGAAGGGAGATTGTTGTCATTTTGGTCCAATTTAACCTACTTTATGTGCAATCTGTGAAAGCTCCCAGGGTTGCGACTCACTGTCAGCTACGCTGACAGCAAATTTAAGCTCAATTTCTATAAAACTGTCTGAGATATAACCATTGTTGTTATTTCTAATATTGGTTAGCTGTAGCGATCATCTTGAATTTCAGTGGTTCCAAAAGTTAATCAGTTGTAAATGTCCTTTCATTGAACACTTTCAGTAAGTTTCAATGAAATCTCTCCAGCAATACTTCAAATATTTTGCTAACAGACACACATGATTAACCAACAACTAATGTTAATGTTTTGAGTAAAGATGTTTTTCAATAATAGTGCTCAGTAAATATTTTGTGAATACTTCTCAGCTACTACCACACCAAATTTTAGCTTAATATCTGTATATTTGGCTCATTTATAACCATTTTGTATTTTCAAAGTTCGGTTGGCTGTAGCAGCCAACTTGAATTGGGTTGACTCTAAAAACGAATCACTTGTAAAAGTCTATCCAAAGATTCTTTTCTGGAAGTTTTGTTAAACTCCATCAAGTGGTTCCTGAAACATTTTGCTAACAGACAGACAAAGTTGATTCCAGTAGTTTAAGGCAAAGTTTCAAAAACACATATTGTGCAAACTGCTAACAATTAGTCCTTAGAGTAAAAGTTGAAGATAATTCTCAGCTTCAGACTAAGTTGTAGCTTAATTGCATCATTGAGTCAGTAGTAGACTTTTGTTTTAACTAAATTTGCTTAGCTAAGGTGGCCATTTTGAATTGGATTGACTTCAAACATGAATCAATTATAGATGGTTACATTCTGATGTTTCATTAAAAAAATAGTGGTTCTTCAGGTGTTTGCAAACACAGCAGACAAATGAACACACTCAGAGGCAAAAACAATCCTGCAGGCTATTGAAATCTAAGACTCACATTCCTGAGAAGGGTCCTTGGATCACATTTGCCCTTTGAAACCCCCTCAGCGTCTCTTCTTGTACTTGCATTGTAATATTAGTAAATCAGTTGCTTTTTTTTCCCGTTGTTGTTATTCTTGTATCTGTAGAGGAACAAGGCTTATCCAAGCTGACTGTGCCAAAAGGAGGAACCACTTGCTCCTCCAGCTGGTGTCAGCAGCTGTTTCACTTAACCCCACATTTCAGATTTGTCTCAACAAAGAGGGGAGGGGCTATCCTGCAGACAAATATATATATATATATATTACTTTCCTCTCAAAACGAATTTGAAATCAAATCTAGAGTAGCATGCGCACATATTTAGCGTGCTGCAGGACCTGCTGTAAGTCATCTGCAAAGAGATGTATATTTTTGGGGAAGTCAGGTTTACATTTTGTTTTTCCCATTTTTATGTGCTGCTGTGAAAATATTGATGTGATCATGCAGCATGCTCACTATCAACATGTAGAAGCTTACAAATTCATGTCTAAAATCTGCGCACATAAAGGAATGGTTTATAATTATTGCTGTAATGTACGAAACCTCACTGCATTACGCTGAATTTGTCCACAAACATACAAGTCAAACTGTATAAAGTCAGCATATATTTTCTTGCATGAAACCTTTTCAGCTGAATCAAAACTTATATTACTTGTCGTTTCCAACCTCCAAACAATAAGTTTAAAAAGAACATGTCTTGTTTTGACACATGCCATATTCTTCTTTCTGTCATCCTGTGCAGCAGAAAGGATAAGACACGGGAAATGACATCGCTGGTTTACTGGCGGAGACCGAGCTCTAAAGGCTGCAAAAGAACTAGCTAAAAGCAGAGGATGGGCCCACCACAAGGAGGACGAGGCAAAAGGGCACAGCAAGCCATGAATCATATGCTGCTGTCACCCGACCCCGAGCCACAACCCTTCACTGTGTGACTCTGTTTGGGTCTTACGCAATGAATTGTAGGCTGCGGTCTGCTTTGAGCGTCCTTTTGTCCCAGAATCCAAACATTCCTAACAGTTTTTGACCATTTAAGACAACGTATGGGAGGGGACAGCGCTGCAAAAGATCAAGAGGTAAAGGCAGATCAACCTGAGTTTGCCTTCAGGCAAAAGTATAGAAATTGTTTCAAAATGACATTGTAGATTCTCTTTCCAAAAGTCTTTTTTTATTTGGATAAACATACAATAAAAAGCCATGAGAAAATATAAACACAAAACATTAACAGTTATGTAACAGAACAATTAATGTGGGATAAATGGAAGCGACTTGAACAACTGGTTCTGTGTCGTTTGCTGTTAGGGTGTGATGAGAGTTTATTCTATGTATTTAAGCAGGAAGGAACAAAAAAAACAGATAAATAGATTTAAGAAGTGCAAATTTATTAATAACAGTAAGAACATTTTAAAATACCTGAATTTGTCGTAGTTTTTGTTTTATGTATTTTGTTTGTTTTGCAATTTTTCTGCATACTTTGTGCTTTTTTAAATTTATCTAAACATTCAGCTCATTCAGGAGATGAGATCTATGACTTTTGGAATTTGTAACTTTTATACATTACAAAATACATATTTATTTTTATGTATAAATATTTTCCTAATAAAACACTGATCTGCTACTTTAAAAATATTGTTCTCTGATGTCTGCTTCATCACGCTGGGCTCTCTTTTTGGTTACTTTTAGCTTTCATCTACTGTTTTGCTGCTTTTAATAAGCATTTAGCTGCTTTTAGAGAGCTTTTTACTTTAGCTTTTAGAGAAACTTTTAATTTTTTAGTTTCTATTTTTTACTCCTTTTTAGCATTTTGCCTCTTTTTTCATTGTGCTTTTGTAGCTTTGACTTCTTAGTTTTAGCTTCTTCAAAATATTTTAACCCCAAGTAATTCAGCAGTCAGCATTCACCATTTTCTCAGACAGCTTGTCTGTTATTTTTTCTTTATTACATGTTGACACAAATAATCAAGTCTTTTTTTTTTCAAGTTTGTCAGGAAACACAAAACGTGATCTGACAAACTTGAAAAAAGTGATTTGATTATTTTAGGAAGGTGTCAACATGTAAAAATAAATAAATAAAACAATATAGATAAGTTGCCTACTCTGAGAAAAATAGAACTTGGGTACTTATTTAGAGGAAGGTGTCGACGTGTTTCCTGCCATCCTTTTCATCTCACATCCGTCACTGTCTCTATCAGGGCAAACATCTAGGAAAACGTTAACAGGTCTCTGTTGTAAATGAAATCTTGGATCTCAGTGAGTCAACCTGTATAAATAAAGGTAAAATAAATGCAATGGTAATTGTAAACTGTTGTGTTTGCAGATATGAGTGTGAAAGTCTTTGACCACACAGAGCCTGAATTAGAGTCTGGGACAGCCTGCTCTCACAGTCTCATGATGCGACTCTAAACACAGCCGTCGTTACTGGGATGAACATTCTCCCCTCTGGAGATCAGCTTCATTACTCAGCAGAAGAGATGAGACGCTGAGGAGAAAACGTGGCAAACAAATCCATATTGATTATCAGTGGGAATGTTGCATCACGGACAGAGTTAACACTTAAAAAAAAAAAAAAGAAACCCTGAGGTTCAGATTTGCTGCCCCAGTAGATCATGTACAGATGTGTGTTAGAATGAACTCACACAGGACTGGAGCATTCAGTTTCTTTATCAAAATCTCACTCAGTACTAATAGTCTGAAAGAATCCATTTTCACTGTGAGACGTCTCATTTGTCTGTGTTGCTTGTTGGGGTCATTTAAAGGTCAAAAAAGAGAGAAGACATGAAAGAAAAGTGGGTTTTCATTTTCCTGTAGTTCAGTGGCGAGCCGTGACCTGATGCTGAAGCCTGAGGCTGAGTATGTCACTGTCAGTGTGACAGGAGTAACTATATATATATATATAAATATAAATGGAACTATGCCACCAGAACTCTGCACAGCCAGGGACGCTGCTTCACCCGCTGCCCGGCATGCATTGCACCCGATTCTGAGGATCCTCCTCGCAGGAGGTGGGTCCATGTAGAGGTGTCTTCCTGTCATTCTTTTGAGCTTGACCCAGCTGAACCCCAGGAGCCAAGGCTTGACCACCAGGAGCTCCCTCCCTGACCCCACCCCTCTCCAGAGAGGTGGCCTGGCCCTGGTGAGATTTCCTCATACTGTTTGTTGTTCCATGCATCAAGGGTTGGGAATCACACAGTCTGACCCCTCCTCTCAGGCCTCTACCAGGAGGCCTGGTAGAGGCCCCAAGGATCATGGTGGTCCTCAAGTCCCTCCACCACATTAAGATGTCGTTTCTGCAGAAGGGTGTGGAGGTGTTTAGGTGTCTGGGTGTCTTGTCCAGAAGTGATGGTAGGATGGAGCAGGAGATGTGTCGACAGATTGGGGCCTCGTCCTCAGTAATGAGGGAGTTGCTTCGGTCAGTTCTGGTGAAGAAAGAACTAAGGTCAAAAGGCAAATATCTTGATTTACTCGTCTGTCTACGTTCCAACCCTCACCTGTGGTCATGAGGCATGGTTCATGACCGAAAGAACAAGACCCCCGATCCAAGTGGCTGAAAAGAGTAGGGCGGCTCAGCCTCCGAGTCGATGGAAAAGGAGTCCAGATTAATAGAAATGAGAATAAAGAACATAAAATGATTTAACCTTTGAAGCATGTCTTTGATACAGAATTAAACAGGATGTGACAATCAGAAACACTAAACCATGAATTTGTTGCAGTTTTGTGGATCATCACTTTGTTTGATAACTTTTTAAGTATTTAGTAGCAAAACTAAATTTGTGGAGGTTTATGAAACAAAATTTCCTCCGAAGGAGTTCCAGCTTTTTAATGTGAAGGGAATTAACCCAAGTGAACTAACCCTCCAAAAAAGGGGGGTGGGGATTTTAAATCCAAAATATTCCCAATCAGGAAACTAGAAAGAAGAGTTCTCCCTCTTGTGGACTGAAAATTTGGCAGTTTGAAATCATTCTAGTTTTTTTCCTGGTGTAGTTGTGTACATGTGTGTTTTGGAGATGAAAGTACAGAACAGTATGTGGTTAATTGAATGGGGAGGCCTCTTTCTCTCCCTGCCTCTGAGGTCCCCTTGCAGCCACGACAGGATCCAGCCTTTTTCCACAACCGCTCTCAGACCCTGATGAAAAATTCACCAGCTTGTCTCGCCTCGAAGTTCAGCAGCGTCAGCTCGGCACGACGTCCTGGTGCCTCGTGGATCAGCCAAGGCTTCCGGGAGGAGAAACAAAGTTAAATTTAAAACCAGGCTTCGTTCCTTGGGATATCTGGGAGCAGATTTGGGCAGATATGAAAGCAACCTAAGTAGGTCTTGTTTGGCACTCAGATGAATATTGCAGAGCACGTTTTGTCATTAGCCATCAAACTTTCAAGAAAATAAAAATCAAAGAATGAGTGAGGTTCTGTCACTGTCAACAACGAGGGGTGAAAAGCAGCTCGAATTGAAGATGAAATATTCATGAGTTCTATTTGAATAAGCTACAACAGTGACAGATTTGTAGGTAGGCTGCTCAGTCAGATTATCTGAAGAAGTATTTAAGGGGGTTTCTAAGGATGAAATCCTGAGCTATTTTTGGTTTTGGTTAAGAATGTGATGCCAGTCAAAAATAAAAGGACATTTTCCAAGTTTTTAGGCAAAATATCATCACACCTCAGCTTGAAAAGATGGAGCTAAACAGGGTTTTTTTGCTTCGATAAAGTCAAAGTGTTAAATCCTCTACAGCAGAAACATAAAAGTAATATATTGTATTGAAGCAGATATTCCTCCTTTTTTAGCTTTAGGGATGCTGTGAAGGTTAAATCTACTCCAGTCTCAGCATTCCACCAGAGTAAATTATTGCACATTTCTTGCAGTAAATACAAGTACAAACTGGTTCCTCCGATTTCTTTTAAGCTTTTATTCTCTTTCATGTCTGGCTGTCTTCAGCAGCTTTGAAAAGTTTGTTCTCTGCTAGGTAATAGTAGGAGAACTTCAACCTTTTTAAGTGAACCCACTGTGAAGTTTTCTTGTGAAGAAAGCAGGAATTTTTCTGATGTTGAAAGGTTCAAATGTCATCTGGAAGAATGATTTGTAATAACACAGAAATCTGAATCAAATGTGCAGAAAATTCACCTGAAAACAAAACTCATACAAATCTGAAGAAATACTCCGTAAAATACAACAACGTTAGATGGTGAAAAACTGCAAATTATACTGAGACAAAACCATATTAATTAGACAGTAAAATTCCTCAGTTTTAGAAGTAAAAATTTAGTTAGTTTACTTAACAAAAACCCTTCAAAAATCCCTAAAATTAAACTTTATAATGATGAAAGACAAACATTTACATCTCCAAGTTGATGATGCTTTAAAAATTGGGATCTTTTTAATTTCCCTTTTTGCTTTAGATGTATTTCATCACTTTTTAGCGTCGGAAAAGATAAATGAACTTGAAAACCTAAAGTCAACACAAAGTTGTTTTCTCTGTTGACTTACTGAAACGCTGTCGAGTAGAGTTTCTCAAACTGTTACAATAAATTGTTGTTTTTGGGTTTTGTTTTAAAAAATGCATAAATGCAAACGGGCAACAATGCACCAATAAAAAACTTATTAAAGCAAACAAAAAAAAAAAACAATTATTGCCTTGGCATTTAGGTTTTAAAAAAGCAGTAAATTATTTTTAAATCAGCACCAGGTTTAAGAGGGAGTCCCTGGATATTTTTCACCTTTGCTGCCCAAGAAGACTGAAAAGCCCGCCAAGAAAAAAACAAACACCCGCTGATAACCATAAAGGCTCTTTTAAGAGTCACACAGCCAGCCTGTAAAGAGCTTAATCCTACTGTTTATTGTTATTATAATCTAAAAATGCTGTGTTGATTAAACTAATAAAGGATCAGTATTTGATCATTACAGGTAAGTCATAAACAAGGGGTCCCCAGACCCCAAAATTTTGTCCAATCCTGGTCCTTGAGGGACACTATCCTGCATGATTTAGAGGTTTTCCTGCTCTAACATACCTGATTTGAATATATGAGTGATTAACAGGCTTCAGTAGAACTTGAAGAGGTAATTCAGGCACTGAATCAGGTGTGTTGAAGCAGAGAAACAAGTAAAACATGCAGCATGTGTTCGATTGCAGCTTGTCCTCTTCTACTGCCATCCTCATGAAACACATTTGTTTAACACTGTCTTTGAATCTTTTTGCTCCAAACTAAGCATCAACAGCCAGCTGGACGTCTGGTCAAATGGTGAAAAGAAAATCTACCTTCGCTGATTTATGGTGAGTTTTTATTCTGTCTGAAATAACACGAGTTTAAGAAAAGATGGGAGGAGAAAACTGCAGAAACATACACCCATTTTGTGACATTTTTACATTATGTTCTATGTTGTTTTTATCTGCTCCTTGCAGGAATCGCCACAGAGAGCAAACTTTCATGAAAGATTTGGCAATATTTTACCATGCTTCCCACAAAATCTGGTCTACAACCTGAAGCCTCAGGACTACAAGCCTGACCACCGAGCCACTGCAGCCCCCAAAACAACATCGTCTACAAAGTAAAATTTTATCTATTTTTTTACTGACATAATTTGTGTATTTTCATTAAGTAAATGTCCTGATGCATCTCAGTAATCCAGGTAAAAAATCAAAAGGGAAAAAAAATTGAATACGTCCTCTGGACGGGTTCTTCTTTAATGAAACGTTTCGTCTCTCTTCCAAGAGACTTCTTCAGTCTGAGAGTTTCAGCCATTCGAAACAACAAAATCCCAGGATTTGAAGCAGAGCAACTTAGGAATAAAGTTTCAGCTTGCCTCAGCAACGCCAAACCACCACCTTCTAATATCAGCAGAGAAGAGAGAGACGCTCTCACTACCCTCAGCAAGGACAAGAACATCATCATTCTTCCAGCAGACAAAGGAAGGTGCACAGTTATTCTGAACCAGAAGGACTATGAAGATAAGATCATGACACTCCTTGGTGACACGACCACATACTGAAGAGAGATCCAGGAAGTGGTTACAAGAAGAAACTAAC